TGTAGCAATAAACACTTTGGAAAAAATTGAGAAATTGGGCTGGGAAGTCTTGCCTCATCCGCCATACAGCCGAGACCTGGCACCATCCGATTACCATCTGTTCCGGTCGATGCAGCACTCCCTGGCCGAGAGAAAGTTCACAAACCGCGAAGAGGTCCAACTCTGGATGTCCAACTATCTTGAGTCGCAGCCGGCCGAGTTCTTCGAAAGAGGAATCCATTCTTTGCGTAAACGTTGGCAACAAGTCATTGACAATAATGGAGATTATCTTCTGAATTAATCTTGTTTAATTTCGTTTTTATAATAAAAATTTTTTCAACTCAAACGCGCATTTCTTTCCGAACAACCTAATAGCTCAGCTGGACATGGCTAGGTCTCTCAGTGAAACTTTCTGCGAACACGAGCATCCAAATTACAATCTGTTAGGTTCCATAAAGGGTTAAAGCTTCTGGCGCCGGTGCCTGTACCGCGAGCACCAGGCGGTTCCGTGCCAAGCGAATGAGATATTCATGTTTAGGAGGTCAACCTCGAACTGGGCGTTTGTGTTCAGGAGATAAAGCTACTCCAGGGTACAAGCCTTATGCGAACTTGGTGACTTGGGGCGTTTGGACGCCAGTGGGAGCTAGGCGGTTCCGTGCGAATGGTTGGGGTATTCGTGCCCAGGAGGATCGAACTATCCCCGGAGACCAACTTCTAGATGAACCAGAACAGTACCAATGATTTTTTTCCGAGTGAAATTACCCCTTTGGCCGACAAATGTAGGCAACTGTAGCTTAACTGATCATGTTTCTAAGCTCTTTTGAAGTGTTCTTGAAACTCACTTGCTACCGCGATATCGGAAGGACTTGGAAGGTGGCTGAAATATGGTAGGTTTGATGTATTCTTGAAATAACTCATGAAATTATAAAAGAACTGGTGAACTCACTTTGTTTTTGAATTTGTATACAAAAACGAGTAGGAGGAAAACACACAAGATGAATGCCATCAACGTGATAACAGGTGGCCCTGAAATTAGCTCGATCATATCGTTCCCTCTTCCAGGTCCACCAGCGCTGGTGACAATGGTATTGCAAACATAATGTACAGTCTTGTTCGCTGCGAATGCTGGGGCATGTCAGGAGGGTAGTTCGCTTGCCCGCTGCAGCAGTTTGTGAAGAATGGCCCTGCACCAAACACGGCTCCTCTGGCACGCCCCAGCATCCGCAGCGAACAAGGGAACATAACATGAAGCGCTCAACAATGGAAATACATTTCAAATGTATTGAGATACTATTGAGAAAACACTCACAGTAAGGACACACTGGGACATTGATGAGATTGGCTTTTTGAATGTCAACAGGCAAATTACATGTCTCTCCGCTCCATCCAGGGTAGCATCTGAAACGTAGCATTTCCGAAAGTTTTAGATACAGTCATCCAGGGTGGAAAGGCCTCTTACAGGCACTGGGTACATGGTGTGGGGCGTTAAGAATGGCTAATGTGGATAAATGCTGTTGATACCGTCGCGATCGGTCGAGGTGGTAACAGGTGGGGCGAATTAAGGCCCACCCCTGGCCTTGCTCGGCCAATGGTGATCAGTTAGCGATCGTTCTAGCAGGGAAACGGCCAATGAAACCGAAAACGCCATTACCCGCTTTTTATAACTTTGCTGCCGAGCCAGGCTTCTTATGCGCCCCATCTGTGGCACCATTCTAGAAGACTTCTATATTTACGACGGTTCGAGGTATTTAAATGGAAACATCGCCTTTTGTACACTGATAACAAAGTTACTGGGTTTTTTTTCTAATTTTTTTACTTAACTTTTTTGTAGATCGCTTCCACAGTGTTTTATACTCAATATCTGTCGCACAGCGTGGTTCAGACCTTTTAATGATTCATCCCTCCCTACCCCTGTGCAAGCCATTCACTTGCTCACAAATCCCATTTATGTCCTCTCTTTCAATTTCTACAACAACTCCCCCTCATCTTTGTTTACGAGTCATGAACTTTGGCACTGAGAGCGAGATTGATGTGAACCTTATTTCCACACTTTTCATCCTCGTTTTATCCTAATTTTTCAACTCCCCTTCCCCTGATGTATCCAGTCCTCATGTCAGTCAAAACCTGTCGCCACATGACGAGCCTGGAGTTGGCTCTGAGACAATGATGACTCGTCTGCGATACCGGGCGAAACGGATCATCTGTGCTTTGGAGTGTATTCCTTTCCCAATGTTTGTTTTTCTTTTGCTTCTAATTGCGCTAAGAAGAGAAATGAACAGCTAATAAGCTACACACTAACCTCGATCTTCAGTACCGTCACAGCGCCACTGCAACCTCGGCGTGGTATGATCACAGGCGGCGTTCTCTGATTTATGACAAAATCGAAATCCAGGAGGTAAAACGACTTCGTCTTCACCTCTCAATCGTATTGACGCTGACGCTGGTCCCTGAAACAAAGCTATCCCTTACAAACAATGGCCGTGAAGTTGTATTAGAAGTTGGCCAAGGTTGGCGGACGGCAGAAGTAGCTTTCATTACACCCCTTTTCTACCCTTTGCGAATCAACACCTAACAGCCCCCTATCACTCATATATGTAGAATAAAGGCACATTCCGCATTGCAAATTGACGTTAATGAAACTCAAACATGATTTTGCTAAATTGCAAGTACCTATGCTGTTCTTGGTAATCGTGAAAAACCAGAACGTAAGACCGCACGGTAGGAACAGTCGTGAATGTTCTAAATGGGGTTCTGCTTATTTTCAGCACTGGACGAGCATGCAATTAACAGAGACGCAGAGAAGCTCAGCGAGAGAACAGACATGCACACAGCCCCTGGCACTCACACATACGAGAGAGAAACGCAACGCTACAGTTGTGCTTTCGTAGGCATCGATACTTGTTAGGATACTGGTTATTGAAAGCTCGGTCTAGAGCCTTTGCCACACATTTTTTAGTGGCGAAAGTGATACAGTCTTGGAGGGTAGGGGACTGGATTTATCGCGGAACCAGCCCGTTCGTCACAGACTGTTGAAGGGGGTAAGCGACAAACGGCTGGCGCCAAGCTCAGCCCTAGCGAGAAAAATCCTATACCCTCAGGGGTTAAGGACCTGTGCTCTTTGTGCACCAAGAAAAAAACCCATGTTCTAAGTAATCGTGGAAACTGTCGTTAGCGGCACCTTTGTAATAGTCGCTCTTTTACAGCTTTGCGATAATGTATCTCATGACAAGCTCATGTACTTTGAACTTACTGCGTAACACTCGTAAACTCCGTCATGATGCTTCGTTAAGTACCACTCGATATGTATAGACGATGCCCTGAAAGTATCTCGTGACAGGGGTTCAGAGTTCAGAGATAGAGTCAAAACTGATTCTGGAGTACTCACTCATCTCCTGACACTCGCAGCACTTTCAAATTCAGGTCATTACCATTGTGTAACCACTGGATGTTCGGCAAATTTGGTGATTTTTCACAACGTAGCGTCACACTGGAGTTAACTGGTACTGAGATCAGTACAGCACTTGCAGGTGGATCTGGAGCGACAGATGATCCTTAATGATCAATCCACAAATGTTAGACGCCGACAATGCTCTTGATAACCAAAGGGTTACCAGGAGTGTGGAATCTGTTGAGTAATCCTAGATAGATTAGCTATGAGTGACTTAGAGACACAGCCCCGTATGAGGACTAGTGAACGTCCTGCCGTTGAAAAATTTCGCAAAATACGATTCCTCTCAAAAATCCCTCCATCGGTTCGAGCTCTTCCCCCACCCCTCCCTCGCCCCTCAAAGATTCGACCTACAATTTCTCTGAATCCCTAACTTTCTACGACTTCTTTGCGGAAAGCTTTCCCCGAAGTACTACCGTAGGCCGGAGGGAGAGGATACAGCGCACTTAAAACTATTTCTCGAGGCAATTATGACCTCCTCGACGGGAGGCCCCAGCATACGACGTGCCGTGAAGAAAGCAGCTTTGACCCATGCTGCAAAACATCGCTCACTACGTACTCTCTGGGGT